CTAATTTTTGGTGGGACTCCGGCCACTTTTTCGGGGGATTCCCGTAAAAATTAGTGTGCCACATGCGAATTCTCCGATGACTCCCTGTTATGTCCCAGCGTTGGTGAACAGCACACTAATTTTTGGAAGGATTCTCACAAAATTACGATGTATTTTTTTCTCCGTGTACAGTGCGGGAAACCCGATCCACTGTCTTTGGTTTCTTCCACACGTGTAAAATCGATAGCGCCATGATTCTCATTTCGTTTTGTCTTGAGGTAGTCGAGACAAATCAATTTGATGGGGTCTAAGGGCTTGGTCTGTAGTTTGATACAGAATGAATTCGTTCGAGGTGTATCGATTGCTGGGAGGATGACTCGTATGTTTAATTGAGATCCGATGAATGTTGAAATTCGTGGCGAGTTGGGAAAGATTTTCTGGCGTAAAATATTTTATCTAAATCCGAAAATGTCTTCAATCATGTACGGAAGTATTTTGATTCAAGTGTCATGATATTCTTGAATAAAAATTCGATATCAACTATAAATCAATTTCATATTTAACTTCATTGAATTTGATTTAAAGAATAAAAAACACTTCAATCACAGAGAAAAAAGTTTCTAGTTTCTAGAAACAAATTATAGATTTTAAGATTTTAAGAGAATAAGAAACTGGTTACTTAATTTTGGGCGGGAAAATAAATTAAATTAGCCCTTAAATTGGCTACCAAAAACCTACCTATTTCAAGTTAAAAATGTTTTTAAATTAAGAACCTTGGCGTTCTTCAACTGAGAACATTCATTCAGCATTAGATAAGACAAGATAGCAGGTGATATACTTTAAATAACAATGGATTTATAAACATCAGTAGATTAATTCTAAAAGAGCAAAAATCATAAATTCAAGATAGAAGAATAATTAATATTCATCGTTTGAGAATCCGGATGGCCTTGATTCAATAATCCTAAAATTCTTATTGTAAGAATCCAAAATTTCTGAATTTCAGTGATAAATTTCCTTGTAATAACAAAGTGCCTGAATATAAGTTCAATTATACTAGATTTAATTCAAAATTCAATTGATTTGTAGGATGCTTCATACGCTAGATTTTTATTGAAAATATTTTTTACTAAAAAATGGAAACTTCTTTACCTTATAATTAAGTACAAGTAAATCGTTAATTGACATAAGTGGAATATGATATATTGGTTGATAATTTAATCATCTAAAAAATTAAAAGTCAGAGTAAACGCCATATTGTAGCGTCTCACTACATCCTTACATGCGGACACTGGTTGAGGACAAGCATATGCATTTACTATTTCACTTGCACCATCAGTGCCACGCGTATTTCCCTATTCGCCAATCGTAAAGATATTCGGGAGTCTCGTCGATACCTTTCGGTGCGAATATAATTCAGTACTGTTCATATCGGACACTCGATCGGATCGCACTATTTAGTCTTCATTTTCGTATTATATATTAACGTAGCAATAAATTGTAATTATTAATTTAATTATGCTGTTAAGGGATTATTATCTTCCCGCCAAAACATTAATCCCTACAATATGACCTTGTTCAGAATCATCTCGATTTTATAGTTGAAACAATGACTTCAGTGGAAGTATAAGTTACTAAGTTTTTCCATTTCTGCACAGATTTGTTTTGAGAAAATTTCAAAATTTCAATCTAGTTTTCTCTACAATCTTGGAGGGGTCTCAAAAGACTCTTCGATTCACTCCAATTGCATTTATTACACGAAGGAATCCAAGTACCTGGCTTTATAAAAGTAGCAAAACACTGTAAATCGGATATTGTCTCTTCATCAACTACGCAGTTATCTCAAACACGATTGATTTTAGAACAAAATATCAAAGATAATCTTTATAGTCAATAAAATTATCTCCAAAAGATCACATCGCAGCATTTTCTCTCAGAATCACTCCTTCTCGACATATTTACATAATTAAAAGTTTTAGACATGTAAATAATTGATGATTACCTTTTACTACTTCAACACAGAATTCGCTTCAATTGTATTTCAAAACTTGATTCAAGTTTTTTTTTGTATTTTTTGTATTCTTTGGAGGGATTCTGAGTTTGTTCGGTCCACTTCAATTGTATTTGTGGGATCTACTCGAGGAATGCGAGTACCTTCCTGTTCGCTTTCTTCAAATATCTCCTTCTCATTCTCTCGAAACCGGACGCGATTTCGTTTGGTCACGGACAAGGTCGTTACTCGACAGGTCGCACAAACCGTGGAGCCCTGGTAGCAGACAGTTCTCATTCATCTTTTTCCTCCCCCTTAATTTTTTTCCATCCTCGGGTTCCTACCTGTTTCCTTTCAACTTTCCTGTTCGCTTCATTGATCTCACTGCTCCGTGAGCACACAAACTCCACTTTTTCGGCTCACTCGTTCGTGAAACTCTGGTGTAAACCGTGGTGTCAGGGGAGGGGAAGTTTGTTTCGACAGGAAATGGAGGAACCGCCGCGCGCCAGTGATGAGAATCAGAAAAACTGTGGTGAAGGAGTTTTGCGTGACGGGGAGGGTTCTTAAGAATTCTGGGACTTGTGGGTTATCGGGTATCTTTATGATCTCCCTAGGCTGATAATAAAATGTGTCCTTAGGCTCTAATTGGGTCTTCACTGCAAATTAGCTAGTAAATAAATTCAACAGGTTAAGGAGGGATTATTAAAACGGCATTTCAATGTATTGATAACATTGAATGATCTAATTGCACATTTTTAATTATTGTAATTATGGTCAAAACATGGTTCCCGGATGTAAACGAAGATAATGTTGTTGAATGAACGAATTTACATGCTTCTGAAAGCATAACATTTCACTAATTGCATAATTATCTCAATAATACGGAAATCCCCGGTCGGGTAGAATGGTAAGATCTAACCATTTTGAAGACTTGATCATCATCGTAATGTACTCAACCGGGTCGAAGCGATGTCAAATAACAATAACAAAAAAATGATACGGAAATCAGGACACAAAAAAAATTGAAAAAAAAATCTTCTGTTGAAAACACTTACTCTGGAAGATATTTGTTAATTGATATCATGCATGCACTGAGAGAAATATCGTCATAATATCACAAAACTAATTCCTTGGGCCAAATATCTCATCTCTTGAAGATAATTTTTTTTTAAAGGCCTTTCGGTTCCACGGAGAATCGAACTCATAACCTTTTACACACTAGACTTGCTTCTAGCCCACTCGGCCACCGACGTTGGTTAAACATAAATTTCTTGGGATAAAAATTCCGGATCATGTCTCAGACAATGTCAGATTGCGATGAAGTGTTC